TTATTTCAGTGACCATTCACAGATACAACAGTGATAAAAAAATAACTTCACAGGTCTTTAAAGCAAAAGAAAAACTACAGTAAAATCAGAAGCACAATTTCAGTTTCAGTTAGCGACCACTTTAAAAGCTGAGTGGCATGTCCCATTTAGAAAATGACAGTATAAATTAATGCAGAATTGTCAATTTAATTTAAAGACAACATATAAACTAGGGATTTCTGCCACTTTCTCAATTTAGGCAATATTTTGACTTTAGCTATATAATATAATTTACTGGTTATGTGCTATAATCCATCTGAGTTTAGTCACTATTCACTCTATTCACTAAATGAATATCAGTTTGCACTATTAGGAAATCTGAAGGAGTTGACAGATAAAAACAATAGATTCAAGCACTTAGACTTATGTGCTGCTTCATAGTGCTTTATAGCATGCTCTAAACAGTTTACAGAGTCGGCATGTTGCCCCCAACAATCTGGATCCTCATTTTACCGACCTCGTACAGATGGAAGGCTGAGTCCTCAGAATTGAACTCTAGGTGTTGGGCAGAGTCAGCCTGCAATACTGCATTCTAAGCACTGCGCCACCATGTCATAAAATATAGGTAGTCCTTGTATAACAATGCTAATTGGGACTGGAAACTCCTTTGTTAAGCAACACAGTTGTAAGTCATGCCATTTAGTGACAACCGTTCTGACAGTCCCAGTTGCCAATATTAAATGAAAATCGCAGGGGTCATCATGTAATCATGTAATTGCAGCTTTCTGCTGGCTTCCCCATCAACTTTGCTTGTGGACAGGGAAGGTTGTAAATTATGATCACATGACCACGGAACACAGTGACAGATCACATGACTACAGGAACAGTGCCAGCCATACATACAATATATGGTTGTAACTACCTCTTGTTCAACACTATTATAAGTTTGAAACGTCGTTGAATGAGTAGTTATTTAAATGAGGACCACCTGTAGTATAAAATGACCCATTCACTTTAAAAAGTGAAAAAAGAAATAAACCAAAACCACATGTATAACATTTATGCAGAGAATATGGATGAAGAGAGAGAGATTTTGAATAGGTTTCTAAAAAGTATATTATAAACACATTTATGAATCTTAGGAACAAGAGCATTCCAGAACAAAGTGTATGAAGTTCTTTGTATTCTTCTGAATTTAATACAGTGAAAAAATAATTCGCTAGGACTTGTTAGCTATATTTAAAGTTATTCTTGCTTTGCTAGATTTGTTCCTAACTGGTCAATCATTGGAGAATTTAAATACATTTTTAATGAGCAGTCAGGCAAGCTATTTCTGTAGTGTTTAATGTGTTACAAATATATATTGGATGCTATCTTAGACATTAGAGCTGAGGGACTTTTATTTTCTCCTTTGAGCCTTGATGCAACTGCCATTGTGTATCCCCAGGAACACCAGGCACTTGCTAACTACCTATGAACAATCTTAAATTGCATTTAAAGCAACTACTCTGTTTCCTTCTTATGCCTATCTCAGTAAGACTGGAAAATAACTTGATCTGCCCTTTTAAAGTTTCTCACATTGAAAGCATTTCTTCTATTTCTTCATTTTTCTATTCTGAAAAGAGTCGATTAAATGAAGATTCACAAATAACTATTCCAGATTTCTGCAAATTGTTTGAAAATGTGAAACAAAGAAGAATTACAAATGTAGGATTTTTATGGGCTTGGTTCATGATTCTCCAAAATTCTGGACACAAACACTTCTCTATAGGAAGTAATAAGTCCATCCAGTAGCTGCAGAACTAATAGGATTAATATCCTGGGTCAGGGAAGAGATTAATAGAAACCCCACAGGGTACATTTTAATTCATACATCTCGGCAGTATCCATAGGCACTGAATATTAATTATTGTTACTGTTGTTATTGAATTTTCAGAGTTTTCAACTATAACTTCCCAAAAGCTCTAAGATGTTTTTTTTAATATTCCCCAGTTTCAGCAGTCTTTCTTTAAGAGGGCCCCTTTCAGATGTGTTAGGGCTATGTTAACTGAAATTCAAAGCTAATATATTGGTTGTTGATTCATCATTTTGGTTGTATTTTTCTGCATCTTTCTCTATTACCACATCTCTAAGGTGTGGTAATAAAGTGTGGTAACCTTACCTTATTATTGCCTTAGAGATGTGGTAATATACCACATGTAGCTGCAGCATATTATATAAAGTTGTTTGTATCTATATCTATATGTATTTATATATAAGAGCCAGTTTGGTCTAGGCACCTGGTTAGAATACTGGGCGATTGTGAGTTCTGGTCTACCTTAGGCATGAAAATCAGCTGAGTGGCCTTGGCTAGTTACACTCTCTCAACCCAATTCACCTCACAGGATTGTTGTGGTGGGGAAAATAGGAAGAGGGAGGAAGGAATATTAGGTATGTTTGCCACTTTGAGTTATTTATAAAAATGATAGAGGTGGGATATAATCAAATAATGGGGGCATGATGGCTCAGCGGTTAAAGACGCTGAACTTGTCAGCTGGAAAGTTGACAGTCCGGGTTTAAGATTCAAACGCCACATGATGGGGTAGCTCCCATTACTTGCCCCAGCTCCTGCCCACCTAGCAGTTTGAAAGCATAGAAATGTGAGTAGATAAATAGGTACCACTCTGGTGGGAAAGTAACAGCATTCCATTTGCCTCTGCATATAGTCATGCTGGCCACATGACCAAAAAAATGTCTTTGGATAACATCGTCTCCTTCGGCTAAGAAATAGAAATGAGCACAGCCCTCTAGAGTCAGACACAACTGGACAGGGGAAACCTTTACTTTTACCTTTATTAATAAATAAATTTTAAAAGATTAGCACTTTTTTCACTTAATGATCTTTAATCCTTAAATTCTTTTTCTTCTCATTTTCCGAAAACAGTCTATGAACCTTTCCTTGTTCCATGCAGAATTGTTTCCAATGTGCATTATTTTATATTTCTTTACACTGAGGTCCATTGGCCAACATAATGCTTATTATTTAAGTTTGGAAATAAGTTAGTAAAACCTTTGTTTTGTCTACATAAAATAATTTGGTGGACTTGAAAGACCAAAGTGAAGTCTCCATGAAATTCACTGGCTGAGTTTGGACTAGTCCTTGCCTCTCAAGCTAATTTAATTTTCATGACCCTGCTCTGAGCACTCAAAAGAAAGATGGCATATGAATATAATCGCACAATTATTTGTAGGAAAAATAAACTTACAGGTAGTCCTCGACTTACAACAGTTCATTTGGTGACCATTCAAAGTTACAACGGCATTGAAAAAAGTGACTTATGACTATTTTTCATACTTATGACTGTTGCAGGATCACCATGGTCACATGATATACATTTGGATGCTTGACAATTGACTCATATTTATGATGGTTTTTAACAACTGCAGGAATTCACTTAACAGTGAATTCTGCTGGATAGCTCAGCAGACTAATGCATTGTAATTTAACTCCAGCTGTCTGCAATTAGTAAGTTCGAATCTTGCCAGGCTCAAGGTTGACTCAGCCTTCCTTTCTAAGGTAGGTAAATTAAGGACCCAGTTTGTGGGGGCAATAAGCTGACTTTGTAAAAATATACAAAAGGATGAAGGCTATTGCTTAACGCATTGTAAGCCGCCCTGAGTCTCCTGAGAAGGGCGGCATATAAATCAAATTTAAAAAACAAACAAACAAACAAATGCCGCAAGAAAAATCGTAAAATGGGGCAAAACTCACTTAACAAATTTCTCACTTAACAACACAAATTTTGGGCTCAATTGTGGTTGTCAGTTGAGGACTACCTAGGGCTTGATTCAAGTGATACCCGTATTAAAGGTAAAGGTTCCCCTCGCACATATGTGCTAGTCATTCCCGACTCTAGGGGGCGGTGCTCATCTCCGTTTCAAAGCCGAAGAGACAGCACTGTACGAAGACATCTCCGTGGTCATGTGGCCAGCATGACTAAACGCCAAAGGCGCACGGAATGCTGTTACTTTCCCACCAAAGGTGGTCCCTATTTTTCTACTTGCATTTTTTACCTGCTTTCGAACTGCTAGGTTGGCAGAAGCTGGGACAAGTAACGGGAGCTCCCCCCTTTACGCGGCACTAGAGATTCGACCTGCTGAACTGCCAACCTTTCGATTGACAAGCTCAGCGTCTTAGCCACTGAGCCACCACGTTTTTAAACTTGTATTAACCCGTATTAAGGCATATGCTAATATTGCAGGTCTTGTTTTGTATTTACTGTCCTTTATCAGCTAGGCTTATTTTTATCTGTTAGATTTATATCCCACCACCTCTCCCAACAGTTCATGACAACATTTTCCTCAGACCTTCAGAGCAGAAGTCAGCTGAAATCTCCAACCTGTGACTTGGCACATCTAAAGTTGGCTCAGAACTTTCTTTTCCAGATGTACAGCATGGCATAGCTAAATATCTTTATTGCAAATTAGAATGAGGACACATTGAATAATGGTTTGCCTTCTATTCGAAGAGGAACGAAGTTACCTTTTAAACAGCAGGTTTAAATCCATTACAGATTCAAAATACAAAGGAGGTGCTTCTCAAACCAGTCTCTGAATTCTGCTTTTAAGAAGGAATATTCTATAGAAAAGTGGGATGGGAAGCAAAATGTTTATCTAAAAACACTCTTGTCTTAAATGTCTCTTTATTTGTTTTGCAGTATCCTTGGTGTTATTGTTGGGGCTATGCATTTCTGTGCTAGGTTTCAATTCAAGTTGAGTCAGTGACTTCCAGCCACTTCTGAAAGACTGGAATATTTTTTTATGTGCAAACCTTGGGTTCCTGAGGGTCCAGTTCATTTCTGCTGTGAATTTAAATGAGTTAATTTAAGTGGTTGGGTCAGAAGCCACTATCATTGTAGTAGCCCTGTGCCTGATTCTTAATTAAAGGCAACAGGAGATTAATTTGAAACATTAATTTAAAAGTGGCTATACAAAAGGAAAGAATTATTGCAATAAAGCCTAAAGAACTTTTTTGTCCCTAGATGTAGAAGACAGAACTAGCTCAGGGTCCTGGGGGAATGGAGGACATCCTAGCCCATCCAGGGTAAGTACATCTAATCTTTTTTTTATTCCTCACCAGCCTTCCTCTGTATGCAAATTTAAAATCTAAATGGGAATTGTGCACCTGATTGCATAGGAAAATGTACTTGCAAGTTTGGCTGTAGAGCAACCTCTTCCCACATTTTTTTTTAAAAAGATTTTTATCTGATCTCAAAGATGAATTTGACATTTGCTGTCTTCCTGATTACAAGTAGAAAGAAGCCTCATTAAATGCTTTGTCTCGTGTTGTTATCATTCTTACACATGGTTATCTCTCTTTTGTAAGCTGTCTGAGTCCCCCCCCTCCCCTTTTATTTGGCTGTTGATTTCTCATTTGTTGTAGGTGACTTCCCAGGTGTTTAATTCCAGGACAAAATATTAAATATGAAGGTGGGACTTTTTGGATGCTAGGAGTTTTAACTCTCTAATTTAGTTTACCTTTGTTACCATTGCTGTCAGTGTGTATATATCTTTCAGATTAGTTATTGAGCAGGATTACAAAATTAAGGTATAATATTATATAATAGGAAGAAATCAGTACCTCAGAGGTATATATGAACTATTTTATCTATTTTTTAAAAATAGTTTTTATTGAATATAAATATTAAAAAAGACATACGTAACATATACACAACAAACATTTATACAACATATACACAAAAAGAGTGTAATTTCTTAAGCATTTTTTCAGAGTGACGTTCTACAATTCTACTTATAATATATTCCTTCACCTCTCTTCAATCTAATAATATTTTTTATTACATATATATGTATCAATCGGTAATATATCCCCTATATTTTTTGTATATTTCTAATTTTTAACCAATTATACCAATTATTCCATATTTTATAATAGTCTGATTCTTCTTTTTCTTGTAATTCTTTGGTTAACCTATCCATTTCAGCGCATTCTAAAATTTTCTCTATTACTTCTGTTTCACTTGGTATTTTTTCTTGTTTCCAATTTCTTGCGTAGCTTATTCTTGCAGCAATTAATATGTGGATTGTAAGATATTTGATATCCTTTGGGTATGATTTGTTAAATATTCCTAATAAAAATGTTTCTGGTTCTTTTTCAATCTGTGTTTTTGTTATTTGTTCCAACCATTTTTTGATGTTAGACCAAAATTTCTTTGCTGCCGGGCACGTCCACCATAAATGATAGAAAGTCCCCTGTGCCTTTTTGCACTTCCAACAATTTTTGTGCCTTTTTGCACTTCCAACTATTTTATCTAATGCGTACCTAATGTGTGCACATTTGTTCTTATATGCCCAAAGTTCAGGAAATCTACCGTGTTTCCCCGAAAATAAGACTGGGTCCTATTTTCTTTTGGGTCCCAAAATAGGAACTAGGGCTTATTTTCAGGGGTGTCTTATTTTCCCCCAATGTACAGGAGGCCTACTTCTTCTGCTTGCTCACGGGGGGGCAGGATGCTGGCTGTGCAGCTCTTAAGTAGGGCTAATTTTGGGGGTAGGGCTTATATTAGGCACATACATAAAAACCATGCTAGGGCTTATTTTTAGGATAGGTCTTATTTTCAGGGAAACAGGGTAGTATGAATAGTAACTGTTGATTCCACTTTTTTAGTTTATTCCAATGTAACTGAATCATCTGAAAGGCTTTGCTAAAAGTTATCATTATTTATTAATTTTATTTGCCTTCGTCTTGCCACAGATGATTCTGGTCTGCTTACAACATTAAAGGTATACGATAGAAAGGTATATATGCATTGCACAAATTTGCAAATCTAGTCAATTCTTTATCTTTTGGAATGATTTCAATCACAATTTTATGCCAAGTTTAATTATCAGTGTAAACCAACTTAACTATTTGTATTTGTTTTTACATGGCACAAATGCACAGGGCCTATTCTGTAGTTATTTATTAAATTTAAGCTTTTACCTTTCTGCTATGTAAATCACTCAAAGATAGAAAGCAAAATATAGAACACAGCAATAAATTCAATGCATGATTAAAATCTGTGTCCTTAAATTTAGTTAACAGTTTATAAATATAATTTATTTAGTTAGGCATGCCTCTACCCCTTGACAAGGGTTTATTTAACTAAATTTGTTGAGGCTATAAACCAGGGTAGGCAAATATGGCCTCTTCATGACCTGTGGACTTCAATTCCCAGAATTCATAGCTGGCTCAGGAATTCTGGGAGTTGAAGTCTACAGCTCTTAAAGGGTCCATATTTGCCCATCCCTGCTATATGTAACTACTATTATGAAAATGGACATTTTCATGGAGGCAATAGTGTCACATTTTGGCACATGTACGCAGACACCTGAATTTTTGGCATTCTTTTAAGGGTACTCTCAACTTCCTCACTATCTTAATTTAGCACTTACTGTAGATAACTGATTGCACTGCCCTAACTTTAATGTAAGGTGTGGCATTTTCTTTTACAAAATGACTTTTTCTATATTTTGTGGATACACTCATTCAAGGTTATGTTTTGCCAAGAAATAATCTCTGAATCCTGAAAATTGAAGACATTTAAAGTGCTGGAGTATCTTTTGACAATCTTCTCCTAACCATGATGTGTAAATATACATAAGATACCTTCTAATTCACCAACAATAAGCCAGGCCTCAAACAGCTTGACATTCAAATGCATTATGCCAATGATCTGAAACTTACCTCTTCTCATGTTACAGAGATCACATGTTCATTCCCACTAAGAATATTCAATAGACTCAGGAAGTGGAACATATTAATATCCAAGTTCTTTTGACAGTTGGCAGAAATTAGAACTGCAGCTGTAACCCTAAGTACCCCCCATCTTCATCTGTCTGTTTCAGATAGATGAAGATGGGGGTACTTTGGGTTACAGCTGCAGTAACAGCAGGGGTGTCAAACTGGATTTCTTTGAGGACTGGATCAGCATTGTAGTTCTTGTCCGCAGGCCAGCTGCGGGGAGATGGGATGGACTCCCTGCCGGCTGAAACAGCACCCTGTCAGCTAAAATGGGATGTGGGGGCTGCATGTGCCCGCCCTCGCTCCATTTTGGCTGCCAGAGGCACCGTGGGCTGCTCCTTTGCTATTTCCAGGCCAGCCCCACAGGCTAGATTTAAGCACCCCTTAAGCCGGATCTGGCCCGTGGGCCTTGAGTTTGACACCTCTGATATAGATCTACCATATCTAGGCTGAAAAATTCCAAATAACCATTAGACAACCGCAAACTGATATGGAAAACATGGCCAATTTTTGAGCAGCTACAGTCAGGTCCAGAAATATTGGGACATCGACACAATTCTAGTATCTTTGGCTCTATACACCACCACAATGGAGTTGGAATAAAACAAACACAATGTGCGTTAACTGCAGACTGTCAGCTTTAATTTGAGGGTATGTACATCCAACTCAGGTGAATGGTGTAGGACTTACAGCAGTTTGTATATGTGCCTCCCACTTGTTAAGGGACCAAAAGTAATGGGACAATTGGCTTCCCAGGTGTTCCATGGCCAGGTGTGTGATATTCCCTCATTACCCCAATTACAATGTGCAGATAAAAGGCCCAGAGTTCATTTCAAGTGTGCTATTTGCATTTGGAATCTGTTGCTGTCAACTCTCAAGATGAGATCCAAAGAGCTGTCACTATCAGTGAAGCAAGCCATCATTAGGCTGAAGAAACAAAACAAACCCATCAGAGAGATAGCAAGAACATTAGGCGTGGCCAAAACAACTGTTTGAAACATTCTCAAAAAGAAGGAATGAGTGAGCTCAGCAACACCAAAAGACCTGGGAAACCACAGAAAACAAGTGTGGTGGATGACCGAAGAATTCTTTCCCTGGTGAAGAAAACACCCTTCACAACAGTTGGCCAGATCAAGAACACTCTCCAGGAGGTAGGTGTATGTGTGTCAAAGTCAACAATCAAGAGAAGACGTCACCAGAGTGAATACAGAGGGTTCACCACAAGATGTAAACCATTGGTGAGCCTCAAAAACAGGAAGGCCAGATTAGAGTTTGCCAAACAACATCTAACAAAGCCTTCACAGTTCTGGAACAAGATCCTATGGACAGATGAGACCAAGATCAACTTGTACCAGAGTGATGGGAAGAGAAGAGTATGGAGAAGGAAAGGAATTGCTCATGATCCTAAGCATACCACGTCATCAGTGAAGCATGGTGGTGGTAGTGTCATGGCGTGGGCATGTATGGCTGCCAATGGAACTGGTTCTCTTGTATTTATTGATGATGTGACTGCTGACAAAAGCAGCAGGATGAATTCTGAAGTGTTTCGGGCAATATTATCTGCTCATATTCAGCCAAATGCTGCAGAACTCATTGGACGGTGCTTCACAGTGCAGATGGACAATGACCCAAAGCATACTGCAAAAGCAACCAAAGAGTTTTTGAAGGGACAGAAGTGGAATGTTATGCAATGGCCAAGTCAATCACCTGACCTCAATCCCATTGAGCATGTATTTCACTTGCTGAAGACAAAACTGAAGGGAAAATGCCCCAAGAACAAGCAGGAACTGAAGACAGTTGCAGTAGAGGCCTGGCAGAGCATCACCAGGGATGAAACCCAGCGTCTGGTGATGTCTATGCATTCCAGACTTCAGGCTGTGATTGACTGCAAAGGATTTGCAACCAAGTATTAAGAAGGAAAAGTTTGATTTATGATTATTATTCTGTCCCATTACTTTTGGTCCCTTAACAAGTGGGAGGCACATATGCAAACTACTGTAAGTCCTACACCGTTCACCTGAGTTGGATGTACATACCCTCAAATTAAAGCTGACAGTCTGCAGTAAATGCACATTGTGTTTGTTTCATTCCAACTCCATTGTGGTGGTGTATAGAGCCAAAGATGTTAGAATTGTGTCGATGTCCCAATATTTCTGGACCTGACTGTATGTTTTTTATGATTAACCCTACTACTATTACAAAAGGCACTAAAATTAAAATAAAACTTTTTTCACCTGATGAATAGACACATTTGAAGTGTTCCCTGTATTTCACTTCAAGTTTCTTGTCTACATGAGATTCAAGACACCTAACAGCCATATAGTGAAGACTATGCAATGTTTTGAATTCAAAAGGAAAATGGTGTTTTTATGGAGCACTGCGCCCTAGAGTTGGATACAACTGGACAGGGGAAAATTTTTATCTTTACCTATTTCTGGAATATTGTTTAAATTTTTGGAATTGTGGCAAAACAGATAAGGAGAGCTGTCTGTGGATTATGAGGTTCTGAAGAAGATCAGCAAATTCCATTCAGAAAAAATGCTGAGCCAGTTTAGAGTAAAATAGGAAATGCAGTATTGCTTTGTTTTCAATAAGATGTTCATAAATTCATTGCTTCTTATTGTAGTACGATATGTACTATAAACTGCAGTACATAAATCTTTAAGTAAAATTGATTTGAATGAAAGTAGAATGAGTTTAAAACAAATCAGATTGCATGGGCAAATTAGTATATCAGAACAATAAAACAACAACAACAGTGAAATAGTCAGCACAAACAAATTAATTTCAGTACAGAGTATCTTGTACTGGAAATACAAATGATTCCTTAAATAAAGTATGTAATTTTAACTTCCCATGTTTCTCATTATTTGAGACCATAACTGCAAAAACATACATTTCCATTTTTGGACAGGATAGAAAATGTCATTTTTCCTGGCTAATATCTGAGTTATTAACATAAATATGAGCACATATTTTTAATATATTAGAATAGCTATCTTCAAATTTCATCAGTCCATTGAAAAAGTACCTTTCTAGTTATAATAACTGAGAAATATCTTAAGACGTTTGCATGCGTATATTCCATTTAAACAGCTACCAATTTATTTACAGAACTACGGAGATGGGCCTTCTTATGAACATATGACAAACAGGGACCTTGGATCACATGACAATCTATCTCCTCCTTTTGTGAATTCCAGAATACAAAGTAAGAAGAAATTAATGTTTCTATTACCCTTAAATGTTTGTAATTGCTTGTGCTTTTTTAATTTTGAACTGAAATAATATTCCTTTCACTGCCATCACATTCTAAAACATCTCCAGGAATGCTAATTATGTCATAAAGTAAACCAATATCCATGTTAAAGTTTGCAAATATTTTGCTTAGAATAAGTATCTGCAAATATGTGGATTGTAGCCTGATTTCCTTCATACCTGTTTTTAAACAACCTTAAATCCTCTTGTATTCATCCACCAGATAAAAACTATGGATTCTCTGGAGAAGATTTGAAAAGGGGGGGGGGACCTGGAATGTTTAAAGGGGAAAGGGGAGAAAAAACATTTGTTATGAAGTGAAGACCACTTCTGCAGTGTTTCAGTGCTTGGATATATCACCTTGATTTTTAATTTATGTCAATTTGTTTTTCATACATAAGATTTCATGGTTTGAAATGTGACTTATATTTATGGGAAAGGGAGAGACTGTATTATTATGGTACTTTGTGTTTCCATTTGAGTTTATTGTAGTCACAAAGGGCACACCTTGTCTGTAAAACGTTAAGTTATCTCTGTTATTTTTATGCTAGCATGTTGTAGATGTAAAAATGATAAAATTGGAAAACGTACGAAAAAGCTCAGTGAATCCAAACGAATGTTCCAGTGGATGTGTAGGGTTTGCTATCAGCAATCAGAAACTGTTGTTTTCTTCGCGTAACAGTGTGAATTTGCCTATAGGGACTTTTAGTCTCTGGGCGGAAAGCTCCTACATTAAGTCTGACCTTGTCTACAGTATGTTCTACTTCTAACAGCCTGTGGTGTTTGGCAAGTGTGTGCCCTCACAGTTGGATAATGCTTGGTCACCATCATTCTCTTTTACAGGGATCACTTTCCATAGTAATAATTCTGGCTGTTAAAAGAAAGTCTTTAATTATTTGCAAGTGCAGATAGCAGCTTTAATCATGCCTGATAAATGAGTTAGGTTAAGATAAATATATGATGTAAAAATATTACTAATCCTTTTCTCTGGCCAAGATCACACCCTTTTCCTTGCACTTGTCAGTGAACTAGCTGAGATGCCTCGGTTTCAAACAACTGAATCTGAGCCAAAGAAAGCAATGAGTTGTAACTGTGATATATCATTCTAGGACTCGTATATGCCCCTGAAATATTCCTTGTCTTTTATTATTAGGAAATATTTGTGAGTTGTTTAACATGAGAGACAGTGTTGAAGCTTGCAGTAATGTGTGTGCAGTCACACACAAGTAATGTAGCTACAGCCATTTCAAAAGAGCTGGTTTGAGCCAAGAAAAGCAAAGAAATTCTGAACCGCCCTTCTTAACTCACACTATTAGATTTGACTGCAGGCAGTGTAAATATAATCTTTCCATGTAGCCATGGTCTTCTATGAAGCCCACTGTGCTGAGTGATGCTTTCAGGATTGACCTTTTCACTGTACCTTTAGCAACTTTTAAGGTTTATCGCATCCTGTTTTGGCTTATTTTAACAGAGAACACTATAGCCTGAAAATCATTTTTTGCCAAGAAAATTATGCTTTCTTTTGTATAATAGAGTACTTTCTTTTAAAGCATGGAGGAGAATTTCATGGCATTATGGAATATGAAGTCACTGCATCCTGATTAGAATTGTTGGGGCATGTAACAGTAGAGAGGTTTTATATAACACTTGTTCGAAATTTAGTTTGGAAATCTAGGAAGAGGAGACACGATAGCAGTGTTCCAGTATCTTGGGGGGGCTGCCACAAACAAGAGGGAGCGAAGCTATTCTCCAAAGCACCTGAAGGCAGGACAAGAAGCAATGGATGGATACTAATCAAGGAAAGAAGCAACTTAGAACTAAGGAGACATTTCCTGACAGTTAGAACAATGAATCAGTGGAACCACTTGCCTCCAGAAGTTGTGAATGCTCCAACCCTGGAAGCTTTTAAGAAGACGTTGGATAACCATTTGCCTGAAGTGCTGTAGGATTTCCTGCCTAAGCAGGGGGTTGGACTAGAAGACCTCCAATGTCCTTTCCAACTCTGTTATTATATTATCTAAAATGCTGTATTTCTGTAGTTACTAAAAACAGTTGTTATTTGTTGGTTCCGTCGGAACTGCTAGATTTCAAATGACCAGTGTGCTTTGTATCTCTGTGCTCTAGGCAGTGTATCTCTATATTTTGTATCCCTGTGTTTTGTTTTATTTCAGTCTTTTGGAAATGTTGAGTCTTTGTAGGTTCATACAAATGTGTTACTGCAATAAGTCCCATCTGCATTTAAACCAGTGATCCTTCTTATGCAGTCTACACATTGTATTACTAGAGTTTAAGATTTTCTTTGTTAATTACGGCTGACTTTCTCTACTTGTTTGCTTATGTTAAAAGATGTTGATCACTTTGCTGAATCTCCATTCATTGACATCTGCAAGACTCTCTTGAGCCTGCAGAAAGTCTGAAAAAATTAAAAAGCTGGTGCATGATAATAGATAACCCCTATTGTTTATTAAATTTATATGCCTCCCATCTCACTTTTCAAAGTGATTTTGGGAGATCTTATAATACCACAAAAGCATAAATATAAAAGCACTAACGGCAATTAAATAAAGATGAAAAACTAAGGAATGGTACCTGGATGGGCTTTAGTCTATCATTCCACTAACCACCTCCAGCATGTTTCCTTCGGGACCCCAAACCAACTTATAGTGCCATGTTTTAAGGATCTTCTGGAAGGCCAGAACGGTAAAGGGGGAACGAGGGTGGGGCAGGCCAGTCTGATTGGGACAAGACCATTCACCGTTCACCTGGCCTTGTGTCATGATGGACTTTAATGATGATAACCAACAGCTTAAATTGGACCTGTAAGTATTCAGACAATCGATGCAGTCTGTGTAAGAGCGGTGTTACATGTACCAACTTTTGAGCCTCCAGAACTGTTCACATTACAGCATTATCCTCATTCATTATGACAAATGTTGGCTAAGAATGATGGGAGTTGAACTGCAGTACATTTAAATAAAGTAGGGATGAAGGAGAACTGCATGAAAGAATTTCTTCTTGTCCTTAACATCTGTCAGGTGCACGCAACTGAATAGGCTCAAGTAGATATTTATTGTTGATCACCTAATTTCACCATACATACTGTCTGCCTTCCCTTGGGAAATGGGAGATACAGACCAACAGTTTGACCTCAGATATTTCTTCTTCCCAAACCAATTTCAAGTTGGATTGTCTCTTTACTCACCTTCAGCCAGTGATTCCACCACAATACCCAGGTAAGCCACCCAGAGTTACTGGGTGGTAAGATGGTTGGCTAATACATTTTTACAAATAAATAAATACCAGTAGTTTGGGGAGTTTTGAAAAGCAAAATAGTATCCTCAGTTCCTTCTTTTCCAGAGTATTTCCCCTCCCCTCAGACTCCTGTCCTCATATTAGGTATGTAACAGAAAGTAATGTTGTCCTGCAGTGGATGGAAGTTTGAAACTTTTAGATCTGGTCAGCATGGACAACTAATGGTGTGCGCCAGATAACAATATTCTGTCTGTGTACGAGGCCCTAATGGAAGTGTTGTTCTCTCAGATAAGTTGTCTGTTCTGAAACATGGTCTTTTTGTGATTATGAAATGCTACATTTGCCACCTCAAAGAGATTTAAAAGAGAGTTGTGACTGCATGGCAGACTGGAGGGTTTTACCTGAAAGTAACAGAAATGTCTACAAGATGAGATCAGTGAGCGAGAAACTGTAGAAATTCCCAAAGCGAACTTGTCGAAAGATAATTTTACACAGGCCACGGAGAGACGCCTTTGATCAGGAAAAGCTCTTTTGTACTCGGGCATGATCATTTTAAGGACTGTTTTATATCCTAAACCCTATTGGGTATGCTTTATTATTTAAAAGAAAGATGAGGATTAAAACAATGGTAATTATGGGAGTCGTTCTTGGTTTAAATATTTCACACACATCTGTAGATGCAGCGATTTGACATGCTGGCTTAGATTTTTTTTTGTTCTGGGTGTGTTTGTCAAAGCTTACAAAATACAGTTTCTCTAAGTGGAGTTATCTGATTTATAGCCCTTAATATTAAATATTCAGAGATGGAGGGGATGGTTGTTGCATTTTAGCAATTTTGTTTCAGATGCTTTCAGTATATTCACCCAATATGAGAGTCCCATAAAATTTTCTCATATTCATAGAACTCTCAAAGCAGAAGTTTTTTAAAAAAAATCTCAACTATAGGTTTGCTCATAATTATGCCAGGACTCGTCATCCTTATTTTATAGTAATAAAGTTCTGATACAACTCATCTGGAGATAATGCAAATCAGTGGAGAACCACTTAATCTAACATATCCCTGACATACGTTAATACTGATAGCCCATATTTTAATACATCACACATACATTTAGTCTATTGCTTCAACTATTACTTTATTTGGAAATATTTAAGCCATTTGAAATAATGACCTTTAATTTTAGTAAATTAATTACTCAGCATGTGTTGTGCAGTTTGATTGTCACTCATTCTCTCAATATGTCTAAACCACCGCAACACACATTTTAATTTTGTATTCAATTCATATTCATTTGGCGCACATTCAGCCTTGCCCCATTTTTTCTTGTTTCAGATGCAACAAGCAGACAATTCCTACTTCATCCAGACTCCTTTAATGTTTCTCTGGACATACCCAACTCTTACCTCCATGTAGTAATGTGGGCAGTGTGAGTTCCTATACTCCACCATTGCGGGGGGGGGGTGTCTTTCAATGAATATTCAGAATAATAGAATAACAGAAGAGACCTTGGAGGTTTTCTAGTTCAACTCCCTGCTCAAGCAGGAAACCATATTATTGGAGAGTTGGAGACAACTTCTGGAGGCAAGTCATTCCTCTGTTTAATTGTTCTAACTGTCAGGAAATTTCTCCTTAGTCCTAAATTGCTTCTCTCCTTGATCAGTTTCCATCCATTTCTTCTTGTCCTACCTTCAGATGCTTTG